TATAGCCAAGTAAATTGGTTGATCTTAAGATCAGATCTATTTTTAAGTGCAATGTTAATCTTATTTGGGCTTTGAATGAATCGAAATGAAAATATTTTAGTCTATATTCTTTATGTATGCGTGCGCACGTTCAAGCACATATCCGAATGTTTGCATGGGAAGCACTGATAGTGATTAGAGTCTCGCGCGTATAAAGTATTTTTGATCACTTCTATGATCATGCAAAATTAAGAGGCAAAAAGTTAAATATATTGATATCTGATCTCATCTTATGAGAATGCAATATACTAGCCAAGCACCACACATCCATTGAACAGTGAAGTCTGAAAAAATGTATTTTGAAGAAGGTTTTTTGTCTAGAATTAACAAAGTATTCCTCGAGGTCTAAGAAGACAGATAAATATATTGATATTAAGTAAACATCTCTAACTGATATATTACCATGCCCTAGTGATGCCGGTTGGGACTGCTGTGACTGTTGCCAGGACGACTGCTTTTGCTGGTTGTATTGCTGTGATTGTCGTGGAAGCGAAGGCCGGTGCTGTAAGTGGTTCTGTTGCTTATCACTCCCGCCTGCACCAGATCGCCACTGCATCACTGCGCCACCCTGGCCAGGCGCCAAAGAATCTGTATGCAATCTTCGCGGGACCTGATCACGGGATTCGCTGTGCGATTGGGTGGCTGGATATGTACTCGCATGATCCACAACAGGAAAAGTAGTCTCCAGACGACGTAGGATCAGGTGAAAATCCCCAGGTCGTTCACCAAGACTGAAAGTGCAAACAAGACGAACTTTACTTATGGTGCCTAAACATATACATAATAGTATAGATCTCAATTAGACTTACTTATGTGAAAAGTATTTATTGGGGATCAAAAACACATGCAAAAATGAAGTTAAAAAATAAAACTCAATTTTCTTTTACATGCAGCTAAACTGTTCGGTTTCCTTAATCTTTTACGACATTTTTCCAGGGATATTAACCTCCTAGAACAAGCAGCCTCACGGCTTACTCTTGCCTTCGGATCAATCCAGTTGAAGGCAAAATTACTACATAGCTCTTTTTTTCGCTGTTAATATACCCGATAGGTAACTATTATCAAAAATCCTTAGAGTCTGATAGAAATGGATTCCACCTCCAGGCTTTGACGGGTGCCTGTCGAACTTAAATCATCCTAGCCAATTTGTCTCCGTGACAGACCTAAATAGGATGAAACACATATAGCAAGTAACCTGGGAGGATAATAGTTGGGTATCAAAGTATGAATGATCAGGCTTTAGCACATCACTGTGAGTGAAGAAAAGATCGGCGAGATAGACCAAGTTTGGACCAGAGACTGACTATCTATTGGTACAACTAGAATCTTCCCTAAGCATGATGTTCCGGGCACAACTGTTCGTGATAGGGTAAATCCTATCTGTAGTTAATTGGAGCAACCTGGTGGCGGTTGCCACTGTGGATTTATTTAAATGTTTAAAGTGCCAAAATGTGAACAACTAGATTCTGGAAGATCTTTTAGCAGTAAGAAAAACAAAGTCATTTAATAAGTGGTCCGATCGTGTTGCCAGGGGGAGGAGCGACTGTGATAATTGACAGAAAACAATATAGTGAGAAGATGGAATGTAGCCTGCGAGACAGGACCATGTATGGTTTACTAAAGAAGAACCCAACTATGAGGATAAATGGAACCTTACGTAACATACTGATATATGTGAAATATGAATGGGGAGACCGATGGATAAACAATGAATTCACTAATAAAAAAGGATGCATGACCATCCTCAGCCTGCGGACTACCGAAGCTACACAAAGAAAGGGAACCACTAAGGCCAATAGTCAACAACAAATATGGGTCAACACACAAACTCAAGAAGGCAAACGACGGATTAGCAAACAGAGTGAAACATTCATATTATGGTAAATACTGTAGCCGAGGACTTCGGATAGGACGCGTCCGACTAAGTCACCCTAACAGCACGACCAAGTTGCGAAAACGAGATTAGACCGCTTCTATACATCGAAAGGAAGTTGTGAACAAAGTATAAGCCACAACATCTTAATTTTAATATCTAATTTATTTATGGCCTAAACTTCGAGAAGACTGAATAATCTGCCAGAAATCTGAGTCTATTTTAAGAAAGTCGTTTTTAAGTACGTCCCACGTTTACAGGAAGGGACAATTTTCTAATGATAATTCCTCATTAACAATGTAGTGGGTACATGCATGATAGTCTAGGTAGGTATTTAAGTAATCTGATCTACGGCAGCCAAAAATTTAACCTACCATCATATATAAAAATAATTATATATTACAACACTTATCGTTAATTATAAACGAATTCAGTCTAACTATTTTAATTATTGGTTGGTCTGTACTGAAGTTTTATCGTTCACACTACTTCTAAACGTTGATGACCAGAAGCATACCTGATTTTAATGCCATTTTTAATTGATGAAGATGTAGATCTTTCGGTTTTGAGCGCCCTTAAGTTAATGAATAAGAACGAGCCATTCACATGCATCTAATTGTATAAACTAAGATTATTCTATGTAATGCAGTTGATGTCAAGTGGATAATGCTGCTCTATCCAATTAAAAGTTAAAAGGTGTTCGATTTTAGTAGAGAATTTGTTTGGTTG